CGTACGTACTAGTACTACGTACTACTACTATACTATATATATATATATATATATATATATATATATATATATATATATATATATATATATATATATATTATTATTATTATTATTATTATTATTATTATTATTATTATTATTATTATTATTAATAGGAGGTTTATTACTTTTTGAAATTTGGAATCACAAAAATATTTGGTGAAGAATAAAGTACGATAAAAATTTCTTTGTTTTAAAAAAATGTCTGTTTTTTTAAAACATTATGGCAATTCATCATCCATTTCCTTAATATAAACTTATTGAAAATTTGTGACAAAAAATGTATTTTTACATATGGGAAATCATGTCGGTGGTGTCCACCATATTGATAGCAGCGAACGTTCACATACCGAAAGTTAATTTCAATCATATTTATAGAGTGGCTAACACTATTGTTGATGATCTGGCTAAGAAAGGGGTTTCCTAGTACACTTTAGTAGTTTTTCATTTTGTGTTTTAGTTTCAAAACTATTGTAATGAGCCAATTGAATTAATGAAATTAATTACTCTTGTAAAAAAAAATACCAAAAAATTTTAAGCAGTTCTTTCTTTCAGCTTTTTGTCAAATCTTTTCCAAAGAATTTCATGAGCAAAACAAAACTTTCAAAACATAGCGCTATATTAGATTTTATGAGGACTTTAAATAACCGGCGAAAGAAAGGTGCTTGCCTTACTACAATGACTATAAAAACATTCAAAAAAAAGAGGGGAATAGAAAAAGTGAGGTGAGGAAGGTGTCGTTGACAGTGATGTACTACTGTACTGCATCTATCTTTTCTTCTCCTTTGGATGTAATAATGTAAAGGACGTGGTTTGTATAGTGCTGGGGCTCCAAACAATCAAAGTAAAGCACACCATCAAATAATGTCGACAAATGTGGTTTTAACACTGGAAATTTTGTTATAGTCTTAAAATATTTTTTTGTCTTTAGTTATAAAATTTAAAAGCTTTAAAAGCAGTGTAGATCTAGTAGATCTATGAATACTTGAAAATTATGAAAATTAACGGTCCAAATATGCATTACAAGATGTACAATTTTCAAAATTTGAAATCGATTCTTTTTCTCATGTCCATGCTTCTTAATGTTGAGATGGTCAATTTTAAGATATTTAAGCAACAAAACAACCTCTTTTAATGAAATTTTTGAGGTCGGCTCTAATTTGATTGTTAAGTGCCTTGGCTCTATATAAGTTTTTCCCAGTATGTAAAGGACGATGCGTTAAATAAGTTTCAAGAATGCGAGGTTCACTAAAACCGGTCAAAGATAGTAACTACAAGTAAGGGTAAAACTTCGGATAGAGACATGCGTTGTTACCAGTCTTGGAAAAGTACGTATCAGCTAAGAAGTCCTTTTATGTGGTGGTCGTGTCTTTTGGTTAAATGTTAGGGCACAATATAAAACGAGCAGCTTTATTATGCTCCCTCGGATTATAGTTTACTTCTACTCCCTCGATCATAAATCATACATACGAGGATCTATTGAATCTGACATTTGAGGAGTTATTAAGAAATATTAGATGATTATTCTAAAAACAAAAAATTTCAAGTTTTTTAATACTTGGATCTCATCATCTAAAACTTGGATAGTCTCAGTTAAATCTTTGATACATTATATACAATTGGAGAAAATTGTAGACGAAGGCTCTCTAATCGTGGGTGGCCTATGATCTATATTTTTCGTTAGCACAACATGGTAGCTAATATTTTTGTAAGGAAAATAATCTTGTGAGACCCTCTCACACTCATGTGTGTATGACTTCAAATATCATCATTAAATTTGGTACAGATCTTTATAAAAGTCAGGTCTTACACTTATGTGATAATTTTTTAAAACTCTGTGCCAAATTTAATAGTGATCATTTGAGGTACTACACATATAAATATCGGACAGTCTCATAAAATCATTACCTTTCTATTACTCTTCTTGTAAACAGGACTACATCTCGTTTTCAAGCTATTGTTTAGAGTACTCGTTCGCCGAACTTTATTTCTCTTACATGATTTGTAACAGGTACCCTATTCTAGGGCTGTAAAAGATGTGAGGGGTAACCATTTTTATTCTCAAATAATTAATGAAACTAAGGTCGAAGTCCTTCTCCCCTACTAACCTACCCAAAAAAAAGAAACAAAAAAATACAATTAGTAAAGTGTTTTTTAGCTGGAGAAGTTCACATCCTCAAATTTAGGATCCTAATATTAATTCTTATTGAGGTTCTAAACGTAGGCCTAAATAGACAGTGTTATAATATGTTTTGGCATACAGAAATTGCGTTGTAAAGTAAAAAGGAATGGATCGCCTCACAAAAGAAGCCAAACCTTTTTAATAATAATAATAATAAAAGAAAAAATTTAATAGCAACCTCTGAGCTACTGCCATCTCTGTCCAGACGTCGAGGAAATTTACGACTCCTCTGCCTTTTTTAGTATCAGTTTTTATTACTTACTATTCATTCCGAGGGCAGGCCTTACAGAGAGAGAGGAAAGATCCAGAAGAAGGGGGGAGGGGAGGTAGTCCATATGAAGCCCGCTGCAGCAAAAATGATCCTCTTACACTCTTCCTCTTCCATACACAGACTGCAGAAACAGGGTTACTACCGTTTATGCGTTTTGGGTTTTATCTCCTTCCTCACTCTCGCCTCCCTTGCCGCCCTTGTCACAAAGGGAGCACAGCACTTGGCCACCGGCGACTCCGCCTCCTCCTCTTTTTCTCCTTGGGGACATGGATCCGACATGGAAAAGGGGCAGAAGATCCCTCAAGACATAGTCCATGCCCTGCTTCACTACTCCACCTCCAACTTGACAGGGGGCATGACAGTACGCGAGATGAGGGCCATAGCAGATGTCTTGGTACGCAGATGCCCCTGCAATCTTTTGGTGTTCGGTCTCGGCCACGAGAGCTTGGTCTGGAGGGCACTAAACCATGGAGGCCGGACGGTTTTCCTGGACGAGAGTGAGTACTGGATTGCCCATATTGAGAAGAGGCATCCTGGTATCGAGGCCTACGACGTCCAATACACCACCAAGGTTGCCCAAAAGGAGGATCTGATGAGGGCTGCAAAGGAACAGGTGGGTGGAGACTGTAGACCTGTTCAGAACTTGCTTTTTTCTGAATGCCCTCTCGCCATAAATGACCTCCCAAACGAGCTATACCAGGTTCCGTGGGACGTTGTACTGGTGGACGGTCCCCGTGGTTACAGCCCGTTGGCACCCGGCCGAATGTCGGCCATATTTACTGCTGCCGTGCTCGCCAGGAGCACCAAGAAAGGGAGCCACATGCCCACCCATGTTTTTGTTCATGACTTTAATAGGGATGTGGAGAGGGCTTACAGCAACCATTTCTTGTGCCCTGAGAACATGGTGGTTCTGCCCGCAGGGGCTGAGATGCTGGCGCACTTTACAATCCACGGCACTGGGGATGCTGCCGTGTCCGGTTTCTGTAGAAATAACGACAGCACCACTATCTCCTCCTCTTAGGTTATTTTCGTCACCATGTACTGGAAAAAAATTCCATTTTTCCTCTCTCTTGTTGCTATATTGTTAATGGTGTATGTATTATTAATTTTGAGGTAAACAATTGTTCATATATGTGATGCGCGGCCGATATCTGTCTTGTTTTCCCTTCCTTCGAATTCCTGTTAGTTTTTTTTCTTTTTAATTTTTTTGAGTTTTTAACTTCGTTCTTGATTCTGATCAATTTCAGCAATTGATCAGCGTTTGTGCGAGGGTGGGACACAATTCAATCATAAAAGAATCATGCATCATGAATTGATTTCAAATCCCTCTCTCTCTCTCATTCTGACCTCTGAGTTTTGAGTTTCAGTGAGATTAGGTTGAGTATATTGGGGATAATCATGTTCAAATCGACGCACTGCTCCACCTTGGTTTCCCACAACCAAGGTTTGAAAAATTGGTTTTAAAAAATAACTGGATCGGAAATGGCCGATTTGGATAAGGAAATATCGGGTGCGGCCAGTTCCCTCGAGGCGGTCTGTTCAAGAGCTATGATAGAGCGAGCGTTTAAAAAAGTGGCCGGTCAGAACTTGAACCGGCCGGTTAGCTCGCTACCGGTGTGGTGGCGATTTCGGTTAGGTCCGGTTTTAGTGTACTAGTAAAAAAACACATCGTCTTGAAAAAAATCGGTTAAAAAACCGGCCGGTTTGGCCTTGAATCGGCGAATTTTTTACCAAACCGGCCGGTTTTGTAAAAACCGGTCCGATTTTGTAAAAACCGGTCCGATTTGGCGATATAACAGGCAATATAACAAAATAACGGCGCCACAGAAAATAACTACCGTTATTTGTAACAGTACCTGTTATTTGGGAAGAACCCGTGATCCGTCATTCTTTGCAGTTATTTTATACTTTTTTTTGCCGTTTTTTTGTTTTTTTTGGCTGAATTATTGTACTATACCTTCAAATCTTCTATAAATCTATCAATATTGAATCAAAAACTCCAAGATAAGATCGATTTTGGTGAATTTTTTGTGCGTTTTTTTGTGTCCTTCATTTTTTAACGAAAAATCTGCCATTCTTTCAATTTTTGCTTGGTTTTTCAGTTTTTCAGTTTTTTTCGATAAAAAGTTGGGGATTTTGATGATCACAAAGATACATATATTTCAAGACTCCTGATTTCATTGAAATGGAGAGATTTGGGGCTCGATTTTGAGATTGAAGCAGACAAGGTAAGCCCGAACCCAAATTTTTTAAAATTTTTTCTTAATTTTGAAGCTTTTTTAGGATTTTTCAAACAATATTTGATTAGTATTATTTATTAAAATAAATAAAAGAAAGATTTTTTAACAACAAAAACAAAATTTGGAGCTTGATTTTAGGAATTTAGGGTTTTTTTTGTTTTTAATGTTATAATATATATATATATATATGTTTTTTGTGATGAATATGAGAATATATATACACAATATTTGTGTGAGATTATTGATTGGATAAAATAAATGAACGAATTTTAGAACAAAAACAAAATTTTGGATGTCAATTTTGGTGATTTTAGCGATTTTTTGGATTTTAGGGTTTATTGAATGAAAATAAAATTGATATTTTTTTATGAGGATTGTTTTTAATGTTATATAATATATATATTTATAAAAATATGTTTTTCGTGATGAATATGAGAATATATATAAACAATATTTGTGTGAGATTATTGATTGCATAAAATAAATGAACGAATTTTAGAACAAAAACAAAAATTTGGAAGTCGATTTTGGGGATTTTAGGGTTTATTGAATGAAAAATAAAATTGATATT